CTAGTCATCACATCAACTCTATCTTCAGACGCTCCATGGAGTGAATGTGCCAAAATTTCATCTTCATCGGAGATTTGGTGGCCGAGAAAATAACGTACCCATCTCTGGTGAAAATCATGGTAAATATCATGATGCAAAAACAGAGAGAAAATGAGAAGAGAATGTGAGAAAGTGTGAAGAATGATGGGGAAATTGGTATTTTATTTATAGAAAACACAATTGAACGTAGTAGTAATCTCAGATGACGCATCCTCCCATTTTATAGTACATGCACCATCTCACATGGCTAAAAAAAAGTGCACGCACTAAGTGAGATGACACCTTGTTCACCGTATTTTCTGGTAAACAACCGCTGATCTTCCAAAAAGGGTAACTTTTTGGTTACTCGCAGGATCGATCAGTTTGATCCTAGGACATATGCTAATTTTTTATGTTGTTTGGACATAAACGTTAATGTGGGTGAAGAACACACGTTCGAATAGGAAAGGGATGAGTTTGAGTGCATAAAGTAAATAGAAAAAAGGGGTTGGGGAGAGGTTAGGTGCAGGAATTTGGGTAAAAGTGCAGATAAAATGCAAACAAAATAAAGAGGCAAGAAATGTAAAGAAAGAAATAAAAGACTTTGATTGTAAAATGTGGTGTTTCAAACGTACATTTTTCAGTATTCTTTCTCACGCAACGGGTACTTGAATAGTATTGAATAATTTGTACGATCAGTTGAACACATGTAAATCTACATAAACTTCCTATATTTATACTAAAACTAGGTAACCGTCGAGGAGTTGCCTTGTTCCAGGATGAGACAAGTGTCTCCTGCATGCGCTTCGACCCCTCTTTTTATGCCACGTTGCTTTCCTCAACTGCCAAGCAAACTGCTTTTCCCTCCTTTCTTCAGATTCAAAATCTTTTAGGGCAGATACAAAGCTTCCTTCTGGTCAAAGACCTTGTAGTCCCTTCAGTCGAAGGAATTGAGAACCTTATGGTTGAAGACTCATTTTGACTTAAAATTTCTCTAAGTACTTTTCTACTTTGTCGAAGCTTTTTCCAACTTGGACTTGTTCAATCTATTTTTGGCCCATAAGGCCAACGTGTTGTAGGTGTCGAATTTAGGAGCTAACACACCTAAGGCAAAAAGGCGAGTGCATGCGCCAAGTGAGATGACACCTTCATTGATGCATTGCGTAGTTTTTTCAAAACATGATTATTGCTATAAAAAATTCCAAAAATCAACCTATATGAAGATATTTTCTTTTGATTTTTCGAAATAAAAAAAGGACACCTAAAATAGTCAAAAATGATAAAAATATGAACACTAAATTAACCGAAAAAAGAATTTAACACATTAAAATAAATTACATGTCACTAAGGTTAATAAAAAAAATCTCAAATGGTCAAAATCAAAATAAAATTGAGAATAAGAATATCAGACTGAATAGACGTTGATAATTAAAAAAGAGACTGTAAACTGTATCAAAAAATTAAATCGAGCACACCGTCATGATCTACGCGAGATGTAGATTCATAAAACAGTTAGAAAAAAGTGAAAACTCAAAATATTTTCCGCTAATTTTTCGCACGCCGAAACATTTTTTAACAATCTGTGTATAAAATCGAAATATCAATATTATCGACATATAAACAACTTAATATGATGCAAGAAGCGGGTAAGGAGATGCAAATGCGCGGAGTGAGATAACGAATATTTTTCAACTACAATACGATATGAATGTTTGTTTAAATTGACTTTCGGTCAATCTAAATGCAACTAATGATGCAAATGTGATGAGTGAATGATTGTTTAATTCCAATGACCTAGTGGAAGCGTATGTAGATTGAAAATTCTGGCTGCAGATACTCAATGTCACGTTTAATGTTATGACACCGTATCTGACTTTCTATAAGACAGTAAATACAAAAACAGTAAAGAACACAGTCAATTGTTTACCCAGTTCAGTGTGCAACAACACCTACTCTGGGGGCTACCAAGCCAGGGAGGAAATCCACTATAAGAGATGTTAATTCAGGAATAAACCAACCAGTTTATCTCCTTCACTTAAGACCTACCCAATGCAATTTCAATCTAAGTACAACTTAAACCTGAGTTCCTACTCACTCCCCCTCAATCACAACAGTGATACATAAAACAATTTGACTAATGAATTGATGAAGACACTCTTCAAAAACATATACTTGATTAAGCTTCACATCTTTTTAATCAAGCAACACAACCACTCTTGCTTCACAACTTTGAGTGATACACACAACTAACTTGACTCTGCTTCACAACTTTAGTCAAGAAACATTCAAACACTCTTGCTTCAAAGCTTTGAGTGCTACACAACCCTTACAATTAAAAACCTATTCCAAGTCACTTATCACAATGATAATTGCTTGAAGTACAATAATTAAACCTATACAGTTTACAAATGATCTTCTGACCAAAAAGGGATTGATTCCAAAACAGCAGCTCTGTTGAATATATAGCAGTTGCATCTTCAGTTAGGGTTTCCACAAAAAGCTATGGTTAATTCCATTTGACCTTAAGACTAGGTCACAGGACTTTATCAACCAGGTTAGGGTTGAGCTAGGTTAACCCAAAGAAAACGCAGGATTCTGTTCTGGAAAGACTGAGTCATTTTCCTGAAAAAACTCAGAATTAACCAAACTGCAAACCTGTTAGTTCAGAACAGGATGTCTTAACATCTGTTATGACATCTGAAAAACCTGTCTACTGATTTAGGAAAATGTGATCATTTTGCAAAATGCTCAGATACACACTTATAAACATCAGTACCTGAATGACAATATTTTTCTGCAAAGGTACCTAATGAATCAGTACAAACTAAACTAGAATGTTATGACATCAGTCATGACATTCACACATACACTTGGGTTTTACCAAAAATGCAAGCCAATAACTAAACAACTACATAGATGAATGTAAAGCCTAAGCCAAATAAACTCGAAGTTAGGAGGACAAATTTTGGAGTGCAACAAGGTGCAACAGTGACACCAGTCTCGATCAATCCCTAGCACTCCTTAGATTAAAGCAAGTTTTTCATCTACATCGCTCAATGATCATAGAATCTATCAAACATTACAATAATTGGTTGTATGAAATGTGAGGATTCAAACACGATGGAAGAAAGACTAGTGCAAGAACAATAAAAGAAGGAAAATTCTAAGATGAAGTCATCAAATTAACTTTTTTGAAGAGGTCATTAATTTGGCCAATCAAAAAGCAGCATTGACTTCACATTTTCAGTATTGATTCAATCAATGTCATGTAGGATTATACAGTGCACACCATTACTATGTATCCTCCGTGTACCTCAGATCAAAATCTTTAATCTTTATCTATTACAAAAATAGCAAAATCATGATTCTTAATTTTTTCAAGCAAATGAATACATCATTAAAAGCGAAATTTCACGACGAACACGATTCTATAATTAGTTTTCCATAAAATCTCATAACCAAGTTGGATCGAGTGTGTTTGTGTTCGAGTTTCACGTTATTTTTTTGCTTTGATTTGTCAAATTCACAGCTTGTTTTGCAATTTTGAATACATATTTGAAATCGTGGTAAAATTTTGATTCCAACGTGAATTAATTCGTTGATTTGATGATTTTTGGATTTTTAACTCTCATGAAATCAATAACACAAATGGCAAAATCATGATTCTTAATTGTTTCAAGCAAATGAATACACCATTAAAAGCGAAATTTCACCACGAACTCGGTTATATAATTAGTTTTTTGTAAAACCTCATAACCAAGTCAATCGAGCGTGTTTGTGTTCGAGTTTCACTCCTTTTTTTGCTTCGATTTGTCAAATTCATGGCTTGTTTTGCAATTTTAAATACATATTTGAAATCGTGGTGAAATTTCGATTTCAACATTATATAATTTCTGAATTAATTCTTTGATTTGGTTATTTACATATTTTTGCAAAGTCTAAATTGGTGTCAAACTATCATGGGTCTACTGTAGCATGTAACATGCAAGTTTTTGAAAATTCTGATTTTAGAGTTTTTTGTTTTAAATCATTTGAATCAAAATTAAAATCATAAATATATTGTAAATGATATTTGTGATTTTTCTGGGTAGTTTAATTATTGTTTTTGATGTTTAAATGGATTTGAAATCGGTATATTTCATGTTGCTATTGCGGATATGAAACCGGGTTGAAGTAATCTGACTAAAGATTGAAGATGATAATTAAGAATTTTTTAATTATAAAAAATAATAATAAACACCATTAGATTAATCTAAAGAATGAGAATTACACACCTTCATGTAACATTGAATCTATTCTCAAATGATTTATTTAAAATTGTCATTTTTACATCTTCACCATAGAAACTCCCATGAAAGAAAGACGATCAAGAACGAAAGAGGAAGAAAGACGTAAGAATTGGTTACAATGATTATAACTGGAAAAAAAAAACTGTAGTTTTAGGTTAGAGGAGGACTGAGGCTTTTGGCTATCTGATACCAGTTTCCGAATACAACTTGCATTCCTTACTTGAATTCCATTGGCACAATATAAACAAATTATAAAGTTGGCCACAAATAGAAAATGTTTTCTAGCATGTCGCGAACCACATGCTTGAATGACATGTAAAAAAAACCAAAACCAAAACAGAATACAAAACACAACAAATATTTGTTCATCCCATGAAAATCTAAAACTGAATTTGAAAAGAGAATCAAGAAAACATAATACACAATGAAACTAACATTAATAATTATAATTGTAAACGTAATTAAAAATAATAATAATCGTGGGAGCCAAACTTGTATGGTATTTGAATGAAACACTAATAATAAGAAAATGAAACATCTGGGAGCAAGATCATAATTATCCAGCGCTAATCACAATGATAATATTAATACAAATTTAACAAACTCATGTTTTCGTAATCATCATAATATCAATATTAGTATATACTATCAAATCCTAACTATATATACGCCATGCAACGTCACGCCTCCAATCTACATCAGCAAAGCAACGGCGACAAAAGCAGCGACTGATCCTCCAATGGAGACTCTGAAGGCGGGGGCAGAATTTCCAGGAGCCTCAGCTGGTCCATCGGCGACGGTGGCATCAGCCGGTCCGGAAGCTGCGGGAGACATGGATGGAGAGGTGGTGGGAGAGACGGGAGCGGGAGGGGATTCGGTGGGAGAACTAGCAGCTGGAGAGTCGGAGGCTGGTGTGGTGGCAGATGGAGATGAAGCCTGAGGGGAAGTTGCGGAGGAGGTTGGAGATTGGGATTGGGATTCAGTGGGAGGGGGAGTGGCGGTGGTGGTGGGAGGAGGAGTGGCGGTGGAGGTGGGAGGAGGAGTGGCGGATGAGGTTGGAGGAGGAGTAGATTTTCCGGCGCCGGTGGATTTTGGTGAAGCGGCTGGGACGGGGGAGGATTTTGGTGCAGCGGCGGCGGGAGTGGTGGTGGGTGCTTGACCGGAAGCGAGGGTGGAGAGTAATGTGAGAATGAAGAAGAAAGCAATGTTGGAAGAAGACATGGTTATGGTTGATGATGATTGTTGGAATGAGAAAGGTTGGTGAAAGAGAAATGTTGAAGAAAAGAAAGCGAAAAGGAAAGGTTATTTATATGGAGAGAAATGAAAGAGAGGGGTGAGAAGAAGAAGGGGTTTTGAACGGCGAGGAAATTTGTTTTATGGGTCTTTACCGAGTCAACCGCGCTCTACCGAGCATTTTTGACAAAACCAATAAAATTAAACAGGTTTTATGAAGTTATTGATTGATTGATAATGGAGGAAAATTTTTGAACAAGATTAACTACCATTCAAATTTTGGTTTCTCTCTCACCCTAACAACTTCTTTACTCTAACTAAACAAATCTATTCTTTTTTTTTTTATTATTTTTATTATTATTATTATTATTATTATTATTATTATTATTATTATTATTATTATTATTATTTTTTATTTTATTTTATTTTATTTTTTATTTTTATTTTGTTATAGTAGTCTTAAGTCTCCTTGATTATTGGACAATATGACGTGCCACTAAACAATATTCTCCTGCTACAACCATTTAATTTCACTGTCTCAAAATCTTCTTCTTCTTAACTAAGTAGTTTGGTCTTTTTAGGATTGAATTTATGAAATTCAAAATCTTCTTCTTCTTAATTATATTTTTCAAAAACTTAATTGAATTCATTTAAGGGTGTTCTATTTTAACTTTTATACCTAATTTATTGTTTGAAATCTTGTGACTTGTATTAATGTTGAAGAAACTGAGCATATGTGCTCAATCCAATAGCACAAGCAAGGAGGAAAAAGAAGAAACAATTGTAATTGAATTAGTTACAGAGTAACTGTAATACGGTAGGAGAACTGACTTGTAGGTTTTGCGTTTAATTGCAAATGTTGCGGTTAGTAACTGTCGCTACCGACTTTTCTTTTATCCAAAAGGAAAGGTTGAAAAGAACAGGAAAGATCTTTGAGATGTTTTCTTGAGTTCGGGGGATAGATTATGAAAAGAGAAGGTATTAACACCTTTTTCATCCGTACTTATCTACGGGCTCTCAGTTGCTTGTTAGATCACTTGCTTTTGTTTGAAAATATGCTTTGTGTGGTATTTGAAAGTATTTTGAAAAGGCGTCATCGTTTAGGCAAACTTTGTAATGATTCTCGTTCGTAAGAATGTATACAAAGTGTTGATCTTTTGAAAATGTTTCAAGTTTGAAAGGTGTTTTGAAATTGTTGGTGTTTGTTTTGAAAATAACAAGGATGTTTTGGTTTGAAAATGAGCAAGCAACTAGGAACATTCTACCTACTCAAAAGTCTTTCTTGTTTATTTCCTCTTTCCTTTGACATTGTTATTTTACCATTGATTTGGTAAGAAACCCTATCTTTGAATGTAAAAGGGACGGACATGGGTCATTGTATAGTCATGATTAGCAATGTTGTAAGATATCTTAGCATTTTCCTTAAGGGACTAAGATCATTTTTGAAAGACAACTTTGATAGCGTCATCGAGGGACTATGATCTTGTATTTTGATTGCTTTTGTTAAGATACCCTATGCGTATTATGACCATTTATTTCTCGAGGCAACAAGTGGAGTTAACTCTAGAAGTGCAAAGTGTGCAAGTGTGTCTTTTTCATGCTTGATTTGTCTTGTATTAGGGTTTACTATTTGTTGGTTTTAATATTTCCATACAAGCCCTAATTTACTAGCATTTATATAAAGCGGTAAATTGCGTAAAGTAAAAATACTAAACTATTACATCATTGAGGGAGGGGGTATACAAATTTACAAATGGGGATTTACAAGAAAATTAAACATAATTAACTATTACAACCATATTAAATAATATACAAGATTTGAATAAAAATAAAAATGCAATAATGTAAATGGAAAAAGAAATGATTTTTGTTTGGTTTTTTTATGAAAGGGCTTAGTCTTGACCTAATTAAAGAAAATGACTAAGGAAAATTAAATAAACTTAACTTAAACTAATTAAGAAAAGAAATTAACTTAAAAAGAATTTTTAGGGTTTTTAAGAAAAAGGTTTTAAATTAATAAAAATAAAATGAGAAAATTAATTAAAAGAAATCTAAGTTCTAAATTAATTTTAATTACAAGAAAATAATATAATGGTTAAACCTAAACCTAAATTTAATTATTAAGAAAGAAATTAATTTATTAAGAAAATGTATTTGTTCTTTTAGTTTTATAAAACAAATAAACTAAATAAGTGCAAAAATAATAAATATAATATTTTTGGATTTTTATTAATAACAATAAAAAATAATATTAATAATAATAATTATAATAATAATAATAATAATAATAAAGTAAAAAGAAATAAAATAAAATAAGAAAAAGAAAATAATAATGAAAATTGGGCCAAAGGGTGCTGAAGTTAGGCAGGGAGTTAGAAGCCAACAAAAAGAACAAAGGCCCAATGTGGAGGCCCAAGTGTGCTGTTTGGAAACAAAAAAGAGAAGGAAAATGTGGAAAATGAATAAAAAGGCAGCGCGTTGAGTGTTAAACCCACGCCCTCTTGGTTACCACCGCGCTGCCTTACCACTAGGGTGGCTATATATCCGTTTACTTATATGAAATGATAAATACATAACATAAAATGCTTCCAAGGCCTGTACTTCATCTTCAACGTTCAACCATCCAGAGTACATGTAACTTCTTCATCTCTCAACAAAAATGGAGAGTACAAACATGAAAGTTGTGGCATTTCTTTCCACGAATCCAACCATATAAATAACTAAAGCTAAAAGTCAAAGATGAGTGAGAATTTTTCTGGCCCTAATTTAAAACCTAAAATATTCAGAAACTTCAACTCCAAAATTCTCTAAGCTCAGGCCATATAAATGCAAACTATGGATATGTACAGCTTCGTGGCAACGATATCTACATCTTATCTTTCATAAATCAGAATCAAATGATGCTTGTATGAAGAGATAGAAGTTTGAAAACTTACCTCTTGTAGCTGGAGTAGTGTATGGAGTTTGAGCAACCTTTGAGGTGGCCTGATAATTTCTATAGCTTGCCTGAACCTCCTTGAATGTGTTCCAACTCCTACTTTGCTTTGAGGATGACTGAAACTCCCAACTCAAGTCAAGTTGCAAGCTTTAGTTTTCGAAATGGTGGATAGTGGTGGAGGAGTTACACTCTTGAAACAGGGGCTTGGATCACTTGTGTATGATGTAAGTAAGGTGTCTGGATGGTTAAGAATCAAAATGCACGATTCGAAATGGAGATGGAGAGTTTTGGCTCAAAACTGCCAAGTGGAGCAGTTCTGTGCAGCAAGGGTATTTGGGAGCATTTTTGGAGGCTTGTAATCGTGTGTTAGCTTGCAAACAACTTGTGCATAAGTATGGAAAAGGTTCTAGCACTTGAGAGGGTCAGAAGTGCAAGTTGTAGAGTTATGGCTATCTTACTTGATTTTGAAGAAAAGTGGAAATATAGTTTCAAGGAAAAGTAAAAGCATGGGCTGAGTTGTTAGAGGCTTTAGACAAGTTTCTTTTGGGTTATAGGTTGTATGTTATCAGAAGAAAACAAGTGCAAAGCTCAAGAATTGATTTTGTGCATAAAAGCTACTTTTCCAAAATGGCAATGTGCACTTTCTTCCCAAAATGGCATTAAGCATGGGCAATGCATTGAATGCTTAGATTGAAGCTTCTTACAGCTGTGCAAACATTTAATTATGGAGTTCCAAACAAGTTTGAGGCCTACAAAGCAAGTATTGTGCAACCTAGCATGGATTTGCATTCTTGTTCATCATGAAATTCTGCCATGTAAAACAACTTGAAACCCTAACTTCTGGCCATCGATTCTCCTTGCTCAAAAATGATCTCAAGGAGTTCTTGGACATTTTAGAAATATTGTAATGTGATATAAAACCCCTCTTTGGATCACTTTTGCAAAATCCAATTGGAACTATATGAAACTTGGTCTAGAAGTTAGGTCAAAATCCCGACCAAAATGCTCAAAATTTCACTAAGTGTTTTAGTTTCATGACCATGATTTCATGGATTAATAACTTGAAATACAAGAATTTCTAGGAAGAGTTGTGTAAAGAAATGTTTTAGATCTCATTCATATCTACAACTTTCATGTTGAAATTTTCCTTTGAATCATCTTGCATCATGGTGAAAATTTGGCTCAAAATTGTGAAAAAATATGAAGTTTTCAACACTTAGAAAAATTTCTAAGTTTGGAAACTTTGACTTTTCAAAATGAAATCTTGACTTTTTTATTTTTTGATGAACAAGTTTTATATTTTGACATGTTTTTATAAATTGTGATCTTTGACACTTGATTTTGACCAAAAAGTCAAAGTTTGACATTTCAGTGTGCAACTAACTTTTGATCAGTTGACTGAGAATCAACTACCAATCAAATGACCTTAAGAAATCTTTTGAGTCATGCCATTAGGTCAAAATGATGCAATTGAAACCTTGAGATCATGTCTCAAACCAATTAACCATTTGCTAGGTCAAAAATCAGAAATTGCCCATTCTCAGTCAAAACCCTAATTTTAACCATTTTGCCCTTTTGATGATCTGATCAAATTTCTTGAGGAATTATGATCCAAAATTGATCAAATGACATATATGAGTTCACAATGTTGATATAAATAAAAAATTATGAAGTTTGACTGTAAATTGGCCATAGTTGACTTTTTCCCCAATACAACTGATTTTTAGATCAACTGATCAATTGATTGAGCAAAAATGTGATCCAAGACTTGAAACTTGACATGAGTCATCTTGAGGGTCCATAATGATCCATAAAATTCATATGAGGCATTAAAAGTTCAATTATCCTTATGCAATCTCAAACCCTAATTTCAGTCATCAATGCTTAAGGAGGTGTCTTGAGCTAATCAACCCTTATGCAATCTTGAACCAAAGGAGATCTTGTGAGAAAATACTTGATAAATGAGAGAGAAAATTTTGGGGTACAACATCTTCCCCTGTTCAATCTTCTTAAACCTGAAGAGTTAGATTGGCGGATCCGCCATTCGTGA